ACACAGACAGACACACACAGACACACACAGACACACACAGACAGACACAGACACACAGAGACACACACAGACAGACACACAGACACACAATGTTTTCATCTGGTCTGGGTGAAATGATTTGTCGTGTTTGTCACAGTCCTGTCTGTTGTTGTTCTTGTGTTTAATTAGACGACTCAACACAAAGTTACCCCCCCGACCTACTTATGAGCCTCAGAAGTTCCGAGCGCTGCGTTCTGGGGCGACCGGCCCAACCCGTCACTCCGAGGCTTCAGGGAGGGTTCAGAGAGATTCCTCAAAATAATTATCATTGATAACATGAATCAAACGAGGCTCCAGCTGTAACAGTCGTCAGTCAACAGGAGGCTGAACATCAGTGTGTTGGTTTCCTTCATCACATCCAGGCTCCGGGGAAAGTTCCTCACTTCTTCAATCTATCTCACAGTTTATAAACTTGATTATAAACATCTATATAAAGAAAGAAAACATAAATAGAATAAATCTAAACATAAATACTCAAAACTTCTGCAGCGTCTGTTGTCGAGTGTCGTCCTCGTCCGTCTCCCCTCGTCTCCCCTCGTCTGTCTCACCTCGTCCGTCTCACCTCGTCTCACCTCGTCTCACCTCGTCTCTCTTCTTCTCCCTCACACTGAAGTCTGTCTGCTGTCAGAGCCATAAAGTCCAGTGTTATTATTAAAGACGTAGAGAACGTTACCACACAAAGACATTTACACTGAGTGAGCCCCGTTTTGATTTCTTTTACTTCTGATTGTTTAGTGTGACAGTAAAATGCTCTTCATGTCGTGTATGTTTAAATTTCACTGTAGTTCTTTGAGTTGGTTGAAAACTCTTCTTCTTCTTCTTCTGTCTCTAGATTTGTTTCTCTTGTATGTTGTTAATGAAGGGAGGATCTCCATATCCAAAGTCTTACTCGTCTCTGTGGCAGCGGTTTTGTAGATTATTAAATGATCGTAGCATCTGGAGCAGTTTGCAGCATCAGACTGACTAGTTATATTTATAGAAGATTTTCCAGATGGACTTTTGTTTTTTGTAGTTTTTGTCACATGAGTTGTTCTTCAACTCTGCTGGTGAAGAAAAACAGGAACATTGTGCTTGTTTGAGTGAACTCTTTAATTTTTCTATAAAAAAAATCTAAAATCTAAAAAAACATAGACCTACATCCAAGCAAACAATTGAACCTGCGTCAAACACACACTCGTGTATTTACACATATCATGACAATGTGCAATAAGAGCTCAATACGACTTCTCCACTACTAAACTTCCAACGACAGCTTTTAAGGTTTCAGAGAATCTGCAGCTTCGTAAAAATGAGATAAAGCAGAATCCAGTTATGTCAGGTTTTATTTCAACTCTGGATTAAAAAGTTTTTAAAGTTTTTTTTTTTTGTGGAACCTGCAGATGCTGTTTTAATTCTGTGAAATGCCACATGGTTAAAACCAAATCCCTAATTTCTGTCTGTCATCGTTCCTCCACTGATGAAACATGGAAGCTGCGTGAAGTCTGACACACATGAAGCTGGAGTCAGGAAACTTCCATCATTAGATCTACAGCAATGACATAAATAACTGATGTGTGAATATAGCAACCAGATGATGATGATGATGAAGAAGCATTATTTTATTTATTTTATTTTTCTTATCTTTTTAATATTTGATTAACTACTAGCTGGGATGTGGAGGGGATGTATAGAATTTTAGATGTGAATCCTGTTGAAAATGTAAAGACAAAATGGCGGACCTGCTGTTCATACACACAGTGGCACGTAGAGATGTAGAGTTTCCTGTCGTTAGCGTGGAGTCACACTTCTGTCTGTCAGACGGACGTTTGAGTAAATGAAGGATCTGATGTTCTGATGTCGTAAATAAATGGTTCAGATGCTTCAGAGCCTCTTTTCTCATTGTGGGTTTCTTTGATTCAACACTGGAAAAGATTTCCTTATAGAAAACATGGTGATGTCACAGTGATATTGATTTGATAATAATGAAGTAATGTGACGACAGTGTAGTTTAATGTCATCGAGAAGCAGTAAAAGTTACTGTAATGTCTGAAAGAAGTGTTTATCACAAGAAGAGACTTGAAAGTGTTCAACATTTAAATAAAGCAAATCAAATGACAATTAA